GCACTTCAACATATCTTATGTTTAGTCCTGTTATCGTGCGGCCATGACCAGCAATGCGGAGAGCCTCAATCTAAACCGGAAAACGCAGAAGTCACAGTTCTGCTCCTTGCTTGAAAACCGGCCACGAAGAACCGTCTCGGTCACCACGTTATATTGAACCGTCTCGGTCACCACGCTATATTGCTGCGACCACACATCCCTCAACTGGCACATTGCATGTTTGCAACGTACGGGAGTGTAGGAAATGCTGAAAATAGGAATGTTTACGCAAAGGAAACAAGGAAAGTGTTTCCCATTAGCATGGAATCAGTAGAGGAAGACGCCGACAGGCAGTTACGGGACAGGACGTAACGCGACGGAAATGGTCATGTAGCTTACTAAAGGCAATGATTGGGTGCGATGAAAGCATGGTGAACAGTGACAGGTTTTTTGCCCTTGCTGCGGCATGCACTTCTGTTACATATGGTCGTTAGTTTGATGCCGGTTTTAGAATGTTTGAATGGAAATGTTCGAGTCTTCCAATGAGATATTCGAATTTATTGCATTAGCCTTCAACTTAACCTTCATTTCAATATATCATGTCTGTGTCATAACGATTAAAGTTTCTGGAAGTCAGGCCAAAAAAAAGATGAATGCCCTCGCAGGACGTCCAAACTTTCGTTCCACCCGTGCAAACTAGACAACTTTAAGGAAATGTTTCATATTGAGATAAATTAAAGCAAGCCCACTGATATAAGCGCGCTGATGAAATAAACTCACTTGAAACTACTGTTATACTTTTAAGTGGAATATGCTGCTCTCAACAAGCTCATTTCTCCTTTGAGCAGACGTGACCCTCAACACGTTGTTGTCTTAATACGTCATCGTACCTTGCACAACATTGATTGAGAGCCAACATACTGCCGTTATGCCTGGAAATCGTGCTCACGAACGCCAGATATAAAGACTTGGCAATTTTATCTGTACTGTCCTCGACCGTCGCATTGCTGAAGGAGTGACAGGGCCCCGGGCCTCTGAATAGCCCGGCCCACAGGGCCGGGCAATCCAATGCCAGCCGCAGGCCCCTGCGCGCTGATCAGGGCCCCCCTGGGTCGATAAGGGCCTACAATATGTCGGTCAGACACCACCAGTAACGAACAATCGGCAACGTATCGCCGTGGGCCTGAGAGCGCATTTCCCAAACAAGGACAAAGCCGGAGCCAGCAATTTGCATTGGTCGGGGCCCCAGCGTATTTCAGGGCCCCACAGCGTCTAGTCTTGCATGGGCCCTGTGTTGGCAAGGGACTCCAAGTCGGCCAAGGGCAGCGTCCGATGAGGCTCGAAGGGGGCCACAAGCAACTCACCGGAACCGACGATCAAGGGCCGGTGGGATGTCATTAAGACAAGAAGGCCGGGCTGTAGGCCATGCAAATAATCGCAGCCTGCAGAGTCGTGACCTGTAAGATCAGTCAGCGGTCCTTGTACGCCGTTTGAGAACCTCCTGAAACAATGCGGATGTCTAAGTCGGCCAGATATCACTAACATCGAGCAGTTGGCTGCCTGCTGGTCTGAAGGAGGCCCATTTCCCAAAGAGAAGAAAGGTCGGGACCGTGATTTGTACCAGTCTGGGTCCCTGAAACAATGGTTGGGGCTCTTGTGTCGATGAGGGGCCCACAGTGCCTAACAGGGGGTCACGTGCCAGCTAGTGGCTCTGGGTCGGTCACGGACTCTGAGGAGGTCCTAAAAGGGCCCGAAGGGTCCCTCGGAACCAAATATCAAGAGCTCGATTGAAAGTCGAAAGAAGTGGAAAAAGAAAGAGAAAGATTGAAAGTATTGTGCTTTTGGTTAGAGGCCACAGGCCCAAAGGGCTGGCAGTGATGCCCCCCGCCCGCAAGGTCACGGTCCCACATGTCAGTCAGAGGGCCCCTTCCATGGATTGCGGACCCCTGGGACAGTGCGGGTCTCTATTTTGGCTAGAAACGAAGGCCACCGAACACTCGGTAACGTGCCGGCCTAAGCCCTAGGGGCCCATTTTCCAAGTACGGGCAAGGCCGGGCCCGCGATTTGCCTCAGTTAGGGTCACTGAGGCCATGGGGGTGTCAGCCAAAGGCCTAGGGCAGCTGACATGGGGTCCTGTGTCGGCAAGTGGCAGGAGTCGCCGGCAGCCGCGTTTGTGGGGGTGCGAAGAGAGGCCCGAAGTTTCCCCGGGGACGAAGGATCAAGGGCTCGATCGGACTCGGACCCGGTCCCTCCCACGTAGTACTGACCTGAAATATCAGTCAGAGGGCTTCTATTAGAGACCTCTTACTATGGTTCTCTTGCAGCGTCAATGAGGATTTCTGCGTCGATTCGGGGCCAACCGCGCGGATCAGAAGGCCTCCCGCGTCATTGAGGAGCCCAATGTGATATGATGTATTCCTCTAGGAGCCTCCGGATTCAGCGGGGGGGCCCCACCCGTGTCGCCAGAATGGCAGCCGGAAGGCACCCATGGTGGAATAGAATGACCCCTTAATCCTTGACCGTGAACAATAACGTGCCCCTAGTGTTCTACTCAACTATTAGACCCCTTAGTTGGAGTCACTGAAGCCATAAAGGTGTCAGCCAGGTAGCTTACATGGGGTCCTGTGTCGGCAAGTAGCAGCAGTCGCCGCCAGCCGCCAAATATATATATATATATATATATATATATATATATATATATATATATAATATTGGGCCCCTTTCCCGGAAAGAAATAATGGATCTTGTTAGAGCTGAATAGAGCGGTTTGAAATGAGTTAGAAAGCGAACAAGACCATCTCATGTTTGTCAGAGAATGTTTATTTTTTTCATGGTCAACTAGTGATATAAATTACATCAAAATGATGTATGCATATACAATATGTCAATGTGCTTATCCACAGCAATTACGTCTGAAATCCTAGCAGTCTGCATTAGCTTCTTAAAAGCACAAAACTTGTGAAACAGAAGTACTCTCTCCCTCTCGCATACGTAGATGTAAAATCTGCGTAGACTGTACCCCCATGTGCTTAGGAAATGTTTTGGTAATTGGGTTAAACATTCACAAGCATGGTAGGACCAGAATATACGTGACTATCGCAACCCGTTTACGTGCACGTTCTCAACACACAGTTTAATCGGCAAAACAGATGGATTTCAGCTAATGTAAAACAAAACAGACATATTTCTCCACGTATCTTTCAAGACAGCGAAACGCAACCTTTCTTCATTTGCGCTCAGGCATATGACCTTTTGTTGGTAATGATCTTTTCCTCACTCGTTCCAACGAACACGCATTGCGAGACTGCTGCATGCCTGCAGTGCACTGCTCCCAGCTGCTGTGCCTCTGAACGAAAAGCATCCCTTTTCTCATTCAGTTTAAACGTGTTCTACAGAGATAGGTACTGACGACTCCGTGAATGTAGATTGCGGACCGAAATAGGATAAAAGTTATACACTGACATCGTCGAGCGACATTCGCCTTGGAATGTTCCACCGTCGCTCAGAATTGACTAAGATTTCAGATCATTAAGTGTGATCACTTGCCATTAAATAGTAGTTCAGAGCATTCAGAACGGTCATTCAAAATTGAATACCGTTTCAGATCATTCAAATTTGCATTCAGAATGGATCGTGATGAACATACGCGTCCGCAAGCCTTAGAAACAAAACCATGACGCTCTGCGTCGCAGTCTCCAGGTGTCGCACAGCGTCGGCCTTTGGCTAACACTAGGCGGTGGTCAACAGGCAGACGAAAGCGATTATACGTGTGAAATAACGCCTTTGAATGCTTTAGCACATCAATTAGTATATTTAGAAGGCAGTCTGGGCGAAAACTTATTGAAAACTGGTGGTGAGAACGGAACAGTAAGGGGAAAATCTATATTTTTCATGTTGTGACTATTCAGAGTTCACCCCCAAATTTCACAACTGAAATAAATGTTCCAATTTAGTTTTTGAACGACACGAATTCATTTTGAAACACTTTCGAAGGGATCATTTCACAACGGTCGTTCTCGCGCGCCCGGCGTCCGACGCCTGATGTTATTTGCAGCGGCCAACGCCTCTCCGGTTGATGGAAACTGCTACTGCGATCCATCGGCGTTCTTTGTTCTAAGATTGCGAGCGCGCGGGCTCCAAAGCATTCAATGTAATTTATTTTACTAGTTAATTCTGTCAAAGGATTGACGTCCTTGGACACACATGGGTTCGCATTTCTAATTCTTGATCTATCGAACAGTTAGGAGACCCTTCCTTTTTTGCGGGCAAAGCGAAACTTGTTATCAGTTTGCTCGGTACTCTCTTGTCTTGTTTGGTCAATGAAATACAGTCTGGCACTTTGCCATTTTGAACAATACATTCAAATGTTGTGGATTTGTTCTGCAAAAATGCTGGCTTCAGATTTATGGGCTAGACCATAACAATTCTTAAAGGGGGTATTTCACGTGTGAAGATATTGAAGCACGCATCAGATATGCTGAAATGAGCTTACTTTCTATTTGGATGACTTACTAACTTATTGTATATTTGTATTATATAAGGACTCACTAACTATTGGAATGTTGTTAAGTGGAAAAGGCCGCTGTAAACAACACAGGATCCCTAAATCTCTCGAGATTTAGTTAATATGGCCCTCAATAAAGCAATGATTATGTCATCGTACTTTGCACAACACTGATCTAGAGACAATCGTTATATCTGGAAATTGTGCTCACGAACTCCAGATATGAACGACTCGACAATTATATTTGTATTGGCCTTGATCACCGCATGGCTTATGGAATGAAAGGATTTGAATTACGTTATTTTGACTTCACGAATGCCAAGGTGGCTTTTAAATACACTATTTTCGCGGGCGGGTAGCTCAAAAACTCGAGCTGTTTAGGTCTTAAGTGCAAGGCTGTGAACTGCACCGAATGATTTTTACGGTGCTATTTCAATTCAAAACTCCATACAAATGTAGAATACTTCCCTTAAATCCGAAGTCACAGCTCTGTAGAAATTCACTTATTTTGTGCAGCATGTTGGATTTGTACGATGTGCCGTGCGAGAACGCGAGTCAGTTCTCAGCTTGTCTTAAGTGCGATCGAAATCCTTGAACATTATGTGCCGCCACGTTTTTGGTGCAGGCTGTTAATCACCTTGCAGCCATTTTGATCCGCCTGTCCCTTGAATCGCTTTCCACTTTGACGCTTTCCATTTCGGAGCGATGCTGTGGGCTAGGAGTGAGATACTGTGGTGGCGAATCCGTCGCTTGGGACGGCCACCAAGCTGTCTCCAGGCAGGTTTGAGGCGCTGCACGAGAAAAATGACTAAATATGTCGGTGAAATACACTAACAAAACAGGCTTCTTCCCGGATTTGACCCGCTTTTCTCTCAAATTCAGGGAGCCTGCTCTAACTGCGTAGGAAGCTACACCCCCGCCCCAACACGTTTCCTCGCCCCATCTCGGCGGGGGATACTGTCGTCAAGTATCACTATCATTTTTGGGGTCTCGATGGTCGAAACCGGGCTCCGGAACCAGACGTAGGGTCGATGTTATGCAACCTTAGACGTTGTTGGACGCGTATGGCTTCGAAAATAGAAAATGTCAGCTGATGTACGCGGCTATTATAGGCTTGTACGGTAACTCCGACAGGTAGCCGCAAAGTGAGCTTCAGGTTGCAACGGAGCATTCGCCATACGCTTGGACGAAGCGCCTAGTGTTGTTTTGCTGATCACCGTCGGACGATAACCGCTATTGGTTTATTCGCATGGCGTCGATCGTCAGGTTTTCATAGCAGCTTCATTGAACTTTCGCGTCGAGGTGGAGGTCGGCATACTTCATGGGTTCGTCTAAACGTAGCCGCTGGGAAATTCGTCACGCATTTTGATGGCAATAATTGACCTGATGGTTTAATTATCCGATAACATGTGACAGAATCGCGGCGAAAGCAGGCTGTTGTAGGGTATATAAGTTGAAACATCGCTGAACGATGCCAAATCTCCCAGACAACAATACAAAACGCTACCAGAATTACCAACATGCAAGAAATATGCATTAAAAACAAACAGAAGGCAGCAAAAACAGAAAACATTCGCGCGCGCACATTTTCCCTCGCATCTCGTGTGCACCACGCGCGCGAGATCGGCCGCTACCAAATAACGGCTCCCGCCTGTCTCGAAACTGATTCATGTTATACAAAGATTACACTGGGCGTATCTTTTTTACAACTTTGAGCTTGTCCTCTGGGCAGGCTGCCCTTTAACGGCTACAGTAGCACGAACAAATTAGGATTCCTCCGTTACTCTCTCAGTTTCAACAACAGATCACCGCTTCAACACCGCTTCGCGGTACTATGAAGGCCAATTCGTTCTTATAATCAACCTAAAAATCGCACCGGTGAAATATACGCCCCAACAACCTTCCAATACGCCCCAATACTAAAGCCTTCAAAGGTACTCCTTCCAGATGTGTCATCATGTTCGTCCAACCGCTGGTCACGGCTTAGTGTAAGCCATGGTGCCGGCGCTGCTAGGCCTTTGGAGACTACAACGCTTGGCGTTGGTGTTTTGTTGCTAAGATTTGCAAGCGCGCAAGTTCGAAGCTACGTTACATCTTTCGTAACACTTATTGATTGTGGCTGAATGTTGAACATTTCCAGACAAGCAAGGCTTGGCCATGTTGATCAAATTGTTAACCCGTTTCTATTTATAATCTAGATTCGCACTATTATCTATGTAGATGCCAGATAAAGATCTTGACTAAGCTTCAGAGTTCTATCGGTGAAGGAAGCGTTTACTTTAAGTCCACTGAACTATCGTAGAGTGGAGAGCGCCGGCGGTTTATTTCATGCAGTCGCTTAACGCGTGAATGTCCATGGCGGCGGCGGTTTATAGCACGATTTATTCAGTGACGAGTTCCGATTTCTCTAGAAACACCTCAGATGGTCAGATATGGTACTGGAACATCGAAACGACCGTTATTCTACAAAACCATGTAACGTTCAAGTTCAAAAGCAAGTTTAAAACCAGAGAACTCCATATCATCAAAAAGTACAGGCTGGTTTCAAATTTTAAAACATCAGATTGCTCACCAAAAGGGAACTGTGCAAGGTACCATGAAAAATGTCCGACCTATCAAAGTCATTTTCAGGGTCGAGTGCATGCTCAAAGAACGGGGAATTCCATATCACCAAAACGTATTGGCCAATTTCAGCCTTTCAAGCACCAGGTTATTCACCAGGACATGAACTTGTGTCCGTTAAAAAGTTCCGATTCCTCAAGGTCACCCTTTAAGCTGCAACCTAGGCTTTAGTCATGGGGAACTCCTTGTTATCAAAAAATTACCGGCCGATTTCACATTTTCATGTATCAGAATATACACAACCGCCTTCTAAGTCTGAAAGTTGACTTTCTAAGCGAAGAAAAAAGAAAATGTGACCTTGAGTTTTGGACTTTCTGACGGACGCTAGTTATTGCGCCTGCAAATATTCTGATGGTTGTAAATTTGAGAAGAAAAAAAAATCGGCAATTTCCTGCTGAAATGAAGTTCCATTTTTTTTCAGCCAAATCTGACCTCGAAAAATCCCTTTAGGAGGTCAGGACAACTTGACAGACGCTACTTCATGCACTTGGGATTTTTCCGGTACTTGAGAATTCAAGGTCAGTCGGTAATTTCTTGGGGATGTGGAACTCCCGTCATATGAGCATGAATTTGATTTGTATAGGTGATGTTTAGTATGGAGGATTTTTTAACTGACGTTAGACTTACCCTTGATGATATTCTGATTCTTAAAAGTTGAAATTTGTCGGTCATTTTTGGTGATATAGAATTCCTTGTCCTTTGACCCTGCGTTTGAAGTTGAAGGTTGCGTATTATTGCGAAATAAACATCATCTTCGACGTTCCCATGCCACATTTGTATACCTGACGTGTTTTGAGATAAATCAGGAACCCGCCACTGAATAAGTCGCTGAATAAATCGCCGAATTTGTGGGGTCATATCCGGGCATTTTTTGGTGGATATACAGCTCGCGCTCAGCGGATCTGACCTTGGCTTTCAGTATTAACAGGCAAACTGATCGTTTCGATGAAGGCACGTTGCTGAAATATCAACGCATCTCTCTGTTCCATTCTCCTGTTTTGCTACGGAGAATAAGGCTACCACTTGTAGTCTTACCTATAGGCAAATTAATGCCTTAATTATGCGGAAGTTGCACTACGATGGCCACAAAATGTGATCCGATGTGTATGAGAGTCGGGGCGTAGTTTCGTTAAACGGGTTAGGTGAAGGGCTGAGCAGTGAAAATGACGTAGCATGCCCCAAAGTACGACAAGAAGCGGATTTCTCTACGGATTTAGTCCATTTTCTTCTCTAAGTTTCGGGGGGGGGGGCAGGAGCTCGAGTGGGGAGGACAGACCCCCTCCCCCACCGTTCAACTGAATATGAAACTACGCTCTTGATCGAAGTTCATAGATGAGAAACGCGACATCATCAGAAATTGCCGTCAAATTCGCAGGCTACGGTGAATTCGCATCCCTCTTTAGATCTTGAGATCACCTAGCAATAACGAATCTGAATAAGCCGTTTCTTTACGAATTTTTCTTCAAATCCAAGTAAATTACTTAACTTTTGATATGAAACAGTATACATTATATTTTTAAGCCTGATTTATTGATGGAATGAAACAAAACTTGTATTCTAATAGCGTCGTTGTAAATATAATCTATGTTCTTTATAGATGCTAAGAAGGGGGTGGACGTCGATTGACGCGGTTCGTCACCGATGTTATGGCGGCGTTCGGCGCACCTGATAGTTTTCGGGAACATACGTTTATGTGATAAAAAGTGTGCTCAGATTTAATCTCCAGGGTGTTGGAAATTGTTTTTGGTTTTCCTGAGCACTTTCTCGGGGTGAGTACAGGCCTGGGTCTTTTATAAAGAACGTAAAAATGGGGGTTGTCTCGCCCCCTTTCCAGCATCAAGTGCGAGTGTGCATTTGTCTTTCGTGTCGCCGGCCGTTATCCAGACGTAAGACGGTTGGATATGCCAGTTTGGGATAATTGAGTGAGTTCTCTGTGATATGTCTTCACATTTTTATCTTGTGTGATGCAGTTTCGTATTGGGCATGTAGTCGTTTTGTGTCGAGCATTGCCCATCTACACTTGTTACCCCATCTGGAAACATCGACTTGTATGTGAAACAGCTGCATGTTTAAATCATTACGTTATTATATCTACACAATTTGTATGATGCTTGTGCTATTTCAATGTTCACAATCTTTTTAGACTGGTTTTATTTCAGTATGTCTTTTTGCTGTCACGTTACAACTTTCATTGCATGACTTAGGTGGGAAATGGGTGTCATGAACATGTGTCTTGCTGTGTGTTAACAAATAAAACAACTTGATTTATCTGTGCTTTTGTGGCATCCAAAGAAGAATAGTCCAAAAAGGATGACTTATGTGCCTGAAGTTTGTGATTGGTCTTTTTCTGGTCACTATGATGCTGTTTATTTGTTCCTGAATAGGTCAACACCGATCACAGTGTGATAGCACATCAAAATTCCTAGGTGTATGAAGAGCTGAGTTTCTTTTTCTGCTTAGAGCATACAAATTTCACTACAATGAAACCTTTGGATTGTGTACGCATACCAGGCATAATAATACTGTAGAAGTCATCAGATTAGTACCACAATCAAGATCACAATAAAAAGGCAAGAGAAATATGGGTATGAAAAAATGTGTTAAGAATGTGGTTTAGTATATATATATATAAAGAGCTCAAACAAAAAAATGTTAATTGGTGTGGGTTGCATAGCATTTATGCAGGTATTCCAAATTGAGAGATTAATGAAACCCTTACCAAAATGTATCAACTGCCTGATGTGCATACATGCTGTTTTCACTTGGTCAGATAATTATCATGCTAGCAGACATAAAACAGGGCATTTTCTACGGTCTGTTATTTATGTGGATTGCTCATGCTTGGCATGATTGATTCATTATTTGCCCTCAATAGCTGTTGTGGCAATATAGCAAATAAGAGAAAGCTAAACAAAATCATGACTTCTAAGAAGGTATGATCAATTTAACTTGCAGCTTAAATTATGGTGTGCTGTTTTATCCATTAGGATAATGTTTAAAGGGACTGAGCATGCATTAGCCTGACACCAGGTTGGTGTTGCAAGGGAAAGCAGCCTTGGAATTAATGAGAATTAATCAATGTGATTCAGGACCAATAAGTAAGCATGCCTATGTCAGCTTGCTTCATGCTTGCATCATCAGCATGAATTTAACATGATGCATTTTCTATCTGTATTTATTTGTTGTCAGACTATTGCCATGACAACCAGTTAAGTTGTACACACTGGCCAGTCACACTTTTCCTATCTGTATTTTGTTGTTGTCAGGCTATTGCCATCACAACCAGTTGAGTTGTACATGCTGGCATGAGTTGTACATGCATGTCACCATTTTTACTCAAAGTGAAACCTGCAGATAACTCCTTGTGTGCAATTCACATTGATATTTCCTGTAACATTCAAGCTTCCAATGTGCATATATCATGACAAAGTTTCTGTCTTACTCAGCAACATGTGACACAAAAGTGTCAGTACCACAGATGTGTGGCTTGTAATAGCATTTCAGTATTATTTCTTTATGGACCTTATGAAAAAGTGCAGGGTCTTTTTTTTAGTTGTTGCACATTTATAACTATACACACTCAACTAAGGATGAGTGTGGTCCATGTTTCAGGGTTTAGTATGCTATGTTTGCTTTGACTGGTTGTTGTATCTTATCCTCAGCAGGTGTTTGTCAATAATACATGATATTTCAGGGATTAGAAATAATTCTCACACTTGGTTTTTCATAACTATTCAGGAAGGCTGGCATACTCTGGACATAGGTGGCTGGTGGGTTCACCATTTTGTTACCACTGATCAGTTCCAGCTCAGTTCAGTGCCGGATGCACAAATTTACAAAAACTTTTTGAATCAGATTAACAATATCATTTCCAAGATATAAAGGTGTTGGATCTTTTAACCTTTTTTTGTAATTGAGACCAAACCATGCACTCATGTACTTAGGCAATGTAAAATCGCCCACATGTCACCTTGATGGGGTGGGCAGGTACAGCAGGGATTCAAACCAGCAACCTTCAATTTCCTAGATGTGCAACTTCACTCAGGAGACTAGAAGATGAAGAATTGATGAGAAGAAGCATTTGGGACACAATTTTTTGGCATTCATGTATCATAACATGGTGTAAAAGAAGAAAGCAGTGAGCAAAAAACTATGTGATTTATGTTGAAAGTGAGAGAGAATGATGTGATTCCTGTTTGGCTCCCTTTCTCCTCTCTTTTGCCCACATGATGATGGTATCACTAAAAGTTTGTGTCCCATGTGGGTATTCAGATCTTTGTGTATCTGTTAGCATGCTGACCAACATTACAAGGGTCCATTCTGCTGGTACTTTTGTGCACACTGGAACTATGGGCATGTAACATTGTACACATTATTTGCAGGTTGTGTGATTGATTGGGATACAGGGTTTTGCTTTTGTATCAGTCATCTGGACTGCATGCAACAACGCATTGGTCTTTCCTTCAGGTCCCATCATGCCCTGCCGTGCGTGGAGATGGAATGCGAGGACTCGCCGTCTTCATATCAGATATACGCAACTGTGAGCAGTCATCAATGGTTCATCAATTTATTCATCAATTCATCCAATTTCAGCACCCACGTTTTCATTGTGTGTTAAGGTCCAGGCCTAGCTTAATGACACTATCTGTTCTATGTTAAATGTGTGTCACCCGTCATTTTCAAAATTAGTTAAGAGATCAGGATTATTCTTTAAATTTCCCTTACTTGTAGAATTTTTGTGGCTGTGGGATGCTAGCCGTTTACCACAAGTGTCCTTCATATTATGTTTATGTTCACCTTGAATTATAGCAGCTCAAGTACACATATTGGCAAGGAATGTGGTAAAGGGTGAAGGAATGCATTGCCTGCTCCATTTTCAGGCAAGAGCAAAGAAGCTGAAATAAAACGGATAAACAAAGAACTGGCCAATATTCGTGGGAAGTTTAAAGGTGACAAGACCTTGGATGGTTATCAGAAGAAAAAATATGTTTGCAAGCTGCTGTTCATTTTCCTCCTGGGTCATGACATTGATTTTGGCCACATGGAAGCCGTCAATCTGCTGTCTTCAAACAAATATACGGAGAAGCAGATTGTAAGTATCAAGCGTGTTCTTTGCTTTGGACTCTTACCTTAAGCTTTGATCATTTTTTGTCAAGGATCTTTTTTATCTTTGATCATCTGTGATTGGCATCTGATATAAAATGAAGTTTATATTTGGTGAATGTACCTGCTGGTGTTATGTGCATGGTGTCTTTCTGTGATATATTTAAATGATGTGCTATATATGTTATATATATATATATATATATGCTTGATTTCATAACTGACACAGGTGCATTTTGCAGGGATATCTTTTCATCTCTGTCCTTATCAACACAAACTCTGATCTGATCAAGCTCATTATCCAAAATATCAAAAATGATCTGGCTTCCAAGTAAGTATTTTGTTGACAGCCATTGTCTTGGTTGGTTTATGCGTCTGAAGTGTGCCGAAGGTTGCAGCGGAAGAAGTGGTGCTCGATTCTTTCGACATGCGGCGAAAACGGGAAGTAATTTACGGAGAGCTGACGTTTTCTGCCGTCAGCTGTCGGCCATGCGTGCTGCCATTTCTGTGCCGGTGTCTGCTCTCTCAGCGCAATTGCTGTCTTGTAATTACTGTCTCAGTGCAATTATTATTTATCACTGTGGCAGTGGAAAATTATTTGCCTTCTCAAGAAGGTTTGGAACATCCAGTGATGTCCCCGGACATTGATGCTGCACTGAAGCTTGGTGTGCTTACTTTTTCCGATTCTTGAGTGTTTGACCCGACCTGTTCATTATGTGTGGGCTATATTTTAATGTATAGAATTACCCATTTGCTTTCTTGAAACATGGTAATGCAATAGGAGCTTTAAGACACCTCTAGTTTACAGTAGAGGTCCGGACATGCCAACAAGTTTTAAATGTTGCAGAGGAGATGCATGAAGTCACAGGGATGCTACTAGGCACATAAATATTGGACGAGGCTGGAACTCCGATTTAACGTGTACCAAACACACTTGCCTCTTAAAATCAACCAGTATCGATTTCCTGCAAGTTCCCTAGTCATGTAGCCTTCACCGATTCCAGAAGCGACCTGAATTCGCGCCTGTAGGGGTTTGCCATAAACGCGATATCAAAGCCTGACAGAATTAAGAGAAAGGTAAAGGAAAGTATGTTGTTGTTGGATAGAGCAAATGTTCCAATTTTTCCAGACGCTTTGCTATGAGCCCATTACCTGCGTTTAAGTTTTCGTCCAGACGAAAGCTGAAGCATACAGGTGCTCACTTCCCACTGTAACAGTAAGGTCATAAGTAGATGATGTTTACTACTTGTAATGTGTGTGACTTGCTGTACATTGAATTGGAGTCCTGAGGGTCGCGGCGGTGTGCGAGCTGACAGTGACCCGTCCGCGGTCTCCGCTCCGCCTCGCGTGACGCACCCTTCCCCGCCGCCCCCGCCAGGAACCCCGTGCACGTGAACCTGGCGATGCAGTGTATCGCCAACATCGGCAGCAAGGACATGGCCGAGGCGTTCGGCCAGGAGATCCCGCGCCTGCTCGTCTCCGCCGACGCCATTGACGTGGTGAAGCAGTCGGCGGCCCTGTGTCTACTGCGGCTCTTCCGCACCAGCCCTGAGGTGGGGCCTTGCAACGCCCCCGCGCTCCGCTCCACCTCGCCCCCGCCCCACTCTCCTGCCCTCTGCCCCGCCTGCCACGTGCTTTGGAGGGCAGCCACAGGACCGGGGAGAGATGTGGTGTCGTTGCGCCTTCGGCCCCTCGTGTGGCCCCGCACATCCTCACCAAAAATCGTCGCTGAATGCTCTAGGCCCCTGCTCGCACCCTGCTGGCCCTCCGTGCGCCCTGTGACCCCGCGCGCCCTGTGACCCCGCGCGCCCTGTGCCTCACGAGCCTCTGTTGTCCCCGCCCCTCGCCCCTCGGCGTCTCCGGGAAGAAGTTTCACCATCAGTTAACATGTTGTCATTCTAAGTGCCACTTGATGACCTTGTTCTGCTGAACTCGTCCACCACACGACCTGTACAGCCGGCCATAACCCCAGTCTCTATCTGCGCTGGACCGTCCGTGCCCAGCGTCCTTGTCAGGGCGGCCTGGCCGAGTCAGTCACGCGCACGCCGGTGTGTTGCACCGCAGCACACAGCAGGCCTGGTGACGCCGCCGCCGCGCCGCAGGTGATACCCAGCGGTGAGTGGACGTCGCGCATCATCCACCTGCTCAACGACCAGCACATGGGCGTGGTAACGGCCGCCGTCAGCCTGATCGAGGCGCTGGTGCGGCACAGCGCCGACGAGTACCGCGGCTGCGTCAGCCTGGCCGTGTCGCGACTCAGCCGCATCGTCACCTCCAGCTACCAGGACCTGCAGGACTACACGTACTACTTCGTGCCGGCGCCCTGGCTCTCCGTCAAGCTGCTGCGCCTGCTGCAGAACTACCCGCCACCAGGTCCGTGGGCGAGGCGGGGCTCGTGCTGGCGGGCTAGCTCGGGGTGGTTGTTGGGTTTTGGTCGGACAGCTGTCCCCTGTTGGGAGTGTCGCCATCGGGTTTGGCCGAGTTGCGACAGCCCATTGGTATGCTGCGTTGTGCAGCCATGAGCTATTGTCATTTTAGGCCGGCTTGTTCTCATGCTAGTACGGGCGGTCGGCGACTGTTTGGATGGGTGCTATATGTCCCATGAAGTCGGCGCGACGGAAAATCCAAAATCATCACCAGCGGCCGTCTGACGAGTCGGGTGAAGGATTTGCTGCCCTCCCAGGCCAAGGTCCTGCCATGCTTTATTAAGAGCGACCATTTGGGTCGTCTCGCGATTTCTGGTACAGTGAGATCGCGGTCTTGATCTTGCCTGTGTGGGCTACTGTTAACGGCGGGGAACGTGACCTAAACCTCGGCACTGTTGAGCCGCGCCGAAACACGTCCAATCACCCAGCTGCCACGTCGAGTACTGCGTTGTATATGATAATGAGCAGCAGCCCGGCGGAGCCCGTTCGTATCCACCGTCTGAGTCAGAGCCAGTCTGTTACCATGTAAACATTGAAAGGCCTCGATTAAGCAGAAACGATCAACATTGGCCAGGTCGTGGTGGGTCCGCCGTGCCCCCTGTCATTGCGGCCGGCGCTTCTGCTTCGCGTCCCGTTGCCCTGACGGCGCCCCTGTCCCGTGTCCCGTTGCGCTGACGGCGCCCCTGTCCGGTGTTCCGATGCCCTGACGGCGTCCCCGTCCCGTGTCCCAGTGCCCTGACGGCGTCCCTGTCCCGTGTCCCAGTGCCCTGACGGCGTCCGTGTCCCGGTGCCCTGACGGCGCCCCTTCCCCGTGTCGCGGTGCCCTGACGGCGCCCCTTCCCCGTGTCCCAGTGCCCTGACGGCGCCCCTGTCCCGTGTCCCAGTGCCCTGACGGCGCCCCTGTCCCGTGTCCCAGTGCCCTGACGGTGTTCGTGTCCCAGTACCCTGACGACGCCCCTGCCCATCTGCAGATGACCCGGGCGTGCGCGGCCGCCTAAACGAGTGCTTGGAGACGATCCTGAACAAGGCGCAGGAGCCGCCCAAGTCGAAGAAGGTGCAGCACTCCAACGCTAAGAACGCCGTGCTCATGGAGGCTATCAGTCTCATCATCCACTTCGGACAGGTGGGGCGCGGGCAAAGGTCACGCTCCGAGAATAGCCGCAATTAAGTCCGACGGAGGCTGCCGTCTGAAATAACCGGTATCTGCGGTGGCGTCAGCAGCCGGTCGGACTTCGGCTGGCCGTCTGGCCGTGGTCGGCCGTCTCGGCCGGAGTGGTACGTGCCACCGTACCGGCCCGTGACAGGGGGCTCTGTGTGGCGCGCGCAGTCACTCACCGCTTCTGTCACCGGCGCCGGCAGTGTGCAGCGGCCGGCGGCGCGGCCCGACCGCGGACGGCGGATCAGACGGGGCTGTCGGACGGGGCTCTGTCACGTGCCGAGGCAGTCGGACGGGTCTGTCGGACGGGGCTCTGTCACGTGTCGAGGCAGTCGGACGGGGCTCTGTCACGTGCCGAGGCAGTCGGACGGGGCTCTGTCACGTGTCGAGGCAGTCGGACGGGGCTCTGTCACGTGTCGAGGCAGTCGGACGGGGCTCTGTCACGTGTCGAGGCAGTCGGACGGGGCTCTGTCACGTGTCGGGCCGTAGGGCCGGTCCCTGGGACGGTTGGCTTCTCCGTAGGGCGCACATAGTCGCCTGGAGATGCTGTGTCGGAGGTTTGGTGTCTGCGGTGTCTCCGCAGATCGTGTATGCCGTGAGCAAATAAGCCCGTTGTCCCGCTGGAGGTGCCAGGGCTTATAGAAGAATCCCTGAGCCCACTGTTCTCCCCACAATTGCGTGAGATTCCGTACTGACCATCAAGCGCCGAGTCCGGCGCTGCACTGATCGGAAAACTTTCGAAACCATCAAACCCCGAAAACCCGAAACATTGCCACTTTTATGACTTCGCTTCGGCCTTAACGTGTCTAAAACGTTGTCATGATGCAAGTACCGTTATGTTGTGCTGGTGTGCCACTTGATAGTGTTGAAACCAAAACACGGGGTAAGTTCAACGTGAAAAGAAGTCTTACAATGACGTAAGGATCCTAAATGAATCCAAAGCACACGCCACAGCACTGTACACATATAAATAAGAAGGGCACGCCCAGCGCGCCGGGTCGCTTTAAAGATACACCTGCTCTCCTGTGGGACTTGACCTCCGCTTCCGACTGTCGGCCGGCATTGCTTTGAATTGTCAGGCGGCTGTTCACGCCCGAGTTTGATGAGCAACACTCCTTGCGTATTGCTGTTGCGGTTCGTGGTGGCTGGTGGGGAAGGATCGCCAACACTTTCCCGGTGAACTCCTGGGCTTGACCATTACAGTGCCGTATGGTCTGCATTGGCACAGCCAGTGTACGGTGCCGTATCTTCGACATGTCCACCGGTTACGCGCATTGATGTTGCTTCGGTAATTCGTGCTCAGGCTAGATGGGGAGTGGGATAGGGCGAATGTACACCAGCAATGGACGTACTGCAGGTAGCCTGGAGAATCCACCCGCTGAACGTCCCCGAGCCGATGACGCGGCATGCCTGGCTGCTTCGACGGCACTTCCCGTGTGTCGTACTTCCTGTGGGTGACGCTGGTGCCGCAGACCGATGTTATGGCCTCGGTGAAGGATCAGCTGCAACGTGGTTGGCTACGGCTAGCCGCTGTTGGACATGCTGACACGTGTCCATGACACTGGGGTACTTTGTGCGCGCTGCGGGAAACAGTGTCAGAGCACTATAGGAGTAAATGACCAGTAACATCAACGTTAAAGTGAAGGGGTTAAAAGTTACGGGCAGTTGACACAGAACTGCAGCTCCGCCGCGGTGTACGGGACGTACGTGCACTCGCCGTGTTGTACAGCCGTGGACGTATAGTTTGTGCGGCGCTTATACGTGTCGTTCGCGGCCAAGGTTGTTGTCCAGCGTACCTTCACCTGCTCCGCGGCGGCTGGAGCTGTGCTCCCGGCTCTCCGGGACAGCGCGGTGTGGGCGCGACCCTTGCACGCAACGCTCACGGCCCCTTTTGCCTGCGCCAGCTGAGCCGCAGCTGCTGGTGCGCGCCTGCAACCAGCTGGGCCAGTTCCTGACGCACCGTGAGACCAACCTGCGCTACCTGGCGCTCGAGTCCATGTGCCTGCTGGCCACCTCCGAGTTCTCGCACGAGGCCGTCAAGAAGCATCAGGAGACAGTTATCAACGCGCTCAAGGTGGGCTGGCGGCCGGGGCGGGGCGGGGTAGGTCAGGGCAGTGGCCGGGGTATGGTACGGGTCGAAGTGGGGACGGCATTGCCGCCGCTCACTTGCTCGCTTCCTGTGCTGGCTGCTGCGGCATGGCCCAAAGCGGGGCTACCGGACTCGACCATGTCCTAAAATCATGGCCCACCGTGCACCACGGGTGACCTCACGTGACCTGTGACCCCAGACGGAGCGCGACGTGTCGGTCAGACAACGTGCCGTGGACCTGCTGTACGCCATGTGCGACCGCACCAACGCGGAGACGATCGTCCAGGAGATGCTGAACTATCCTGGAGTCGGCCGACTACTCCATCCGCGAGGAGATGGTACGTATGGGCGGCCCGGCGCCACCGGTCTCCGGCTCGTGAGTCCGAGGAGCCGCCAGCTGGCTGCGCTTGATGCTTGATCTTCGACGCGGCCATTGGCGGGGGAAGTGAGCCGCGCTCGATGGGCTTCGAACAGTCAGTAGTCGAGTACGAGCGTGCCCCGTAACCGACCTCGCCGCTTCAGGTGCTGAAGGTGGCCATCCTGGCCGAGAAGTACGCCATGGACTACACCTGGTACGTGGACGTGATCCTCAACCTGATCCGCATCGCCGGCGACTACGTCAGCGAGGAGGTGTGGTACCGCGTCATCCAGATCGTCGTCAACCGCGAGGACGTGCAGGGCTACGCCGCCAAGACGGTGTTCGAGGCGCTGCAGGCGCCCGCCTGCCACGAGAACATGGTCAAAGTGGGCGGCTACATCCTCGGAGAGTTCGGCAACCTGATCGCCGGCGACGCGCGCTCCGCCCCGGGCGTGCAGTTCAGTCTGCTGCACTCCAAGGTGAGAGGCCGGCCCGGGGGCGGCGCGCCGGCAGGCCGCCACCACCCCTCCGCTGGCGCTGCCGGGCGTGCGCGGCGTATTTGTTGGCGAGGTATGGGTGAGGCCTGAGCGCGGAGATCTCGTTCGACTGATTGTTGTTGTGGCTTGGATGTGCTGAGGAAGGCCGCGTTTGTCTGTCGGAATTTGCATTCACTCCCAATATTGCAATGTTTTCCAGCACGATGTGCGCCTCAGCTGATATTCTTAAGATTTCATCGCGTCTTACTGGTGTTATAACACAATATGAGAGCCTAGTATTTGCGCCTGATCGACTGGTCATGTCCAATCGCTTCGTAATGGGCGGCAAGGACCACAGTCAAGGCGCGTGCTAAGCCCCCATTGGGCGTCGTCATCTGTCGGTCTGCTGGTCGGTGGCCCTGTCTCACGGCGCGCCTCTCGTCCCTCAGTACCACCTGTGCTCGGCGCCCACCCGCGCGCTGCTGCTCTCCACCTACGTCAAGTACATCAACCTGTTCCCGGAGATCAAGGGTCAGATCCAGGACGTGCTGCACTCGGACAACAACCTGCGCTCTGCCGACGCCGAGCTGCAGCAGCGCGCCTCCGAGTACCTCAGCCTCTCGGTGCACGCCACCACCGACGTGCTGGTGAGAGCCGGAGGAGTACCCCAGCCTCTCGGCGCACGCCGCCACTGACGTGCTGGTGAGAGCCGGAGGAGTACCCCAGCCTCTCGGTGCACGCCACCACCGACGGGCTGGTGAGAGCCAGAGGAGTACCCCAGCCTCTCGGTGCTCGCCACCACCGACGTGCTGGTGAGAGCCGGAGGAGTACCCCAGCCTCTCGGTGCACGCCACCACCGACGTGCTGGTGAGAGCCGGAGGAGTACCCCAGCCTCTTCGGCGCCACGTCACCACCGACGTGTCTGGTGAGACAGATGAAGTACCCAAGCCTCTCGTGCTCGCCACCACTGACGTGCTGGTGAGAGCCGGAGGGTTAAAGCCCCGCCTCTCGGTGGCACGTCACCACCGACGTGATGGTGAGAGCCAGAGGAGTACCCCGCTCTCGGCGCACGCCACCACTGACGTGCTGGTGGAGGCAGGAGGAGTACCCCCCAGCCTCTCGGGCACGCCACCACCGACGTGCTGGTGAGAGCCAGAGGAGTACCCCAGCCTCTCGGTGCTCGCCACCACCGACGTGCTGGTGAGAGCCGGAGGAGTACCCCAGCCTCTCGGTGCTCGCCACCACCGACGTGCTGGTGAGAGCCGGAGGAGGCAGCGCCGACCGGCGGAGGCGGTGCCAGTCGGAGGAGGCCTCCGCTCCAGTCCAGATGCTGAGCTGCTGGGAGCGGGCAGGAGGGCATGTGGTGGCTTGTTTTCGTCCGGGCCGCTCGCTCGCTGTTGGCGCTGGTGTTTTGGTGGACGCAGAACAGCCTGCTAAGCGGGTGAGACAGGCTCGATGTCAGTCGCCGCCGTCAATTATCATCTGTGTGACTTCCACTTGCAAATTTAAGTGTAGATGGCTATGTCCTCTTTGATGATATCCTTGAACTTTTTGTCAAAGATGCACACATTGACAAGCAAACGCCATTGCTGCGGCGCGTACGCGTGTTTCCAACACATTCCCTCCGTTTGTGATACGTAAGTACTGCCGTTGCTGCGGTGCATACGCGTGTTCCCAACACATTCCCTCCGTTTGTGATACGTAAGTACTGCCATTGCTGCGATACATACGCGTGTTCCCTCCGTTTGTGGTACGTAAGTACCGCCATTGCTGCAGTACGTACGCGTCTTTCCAGCACATTTCCTCCGTTTGTGAGACGTATGTTAATCCACGATTCCCTCAAATCTAGATACCGGTCTCGGGGCTTCCTTGAAGACTCATGCGTCGTCTCCACGGAGCTGGAGCAGTTCCATTGTTAATGATGTACCTCCAGTTACGATCGTGCTGTGTGGGGGCGGCAGCCCGTCCTCAGACGGGGGCGCTGTCGGTCGCCGACCCGCCATCGTCGCTGTTTCGGCGGTCGGGCAGCTCTGACGGGCAGCTCCGCGGGCAGGCGACGGTGCTGGAGGAGATGCCGCCGTTCCCGGAGCGCGAGTCGTCGATCCTGGCCATCCTGAAGAAGAAGAGCGGCCGCATCCCAGACATCAGCAAGACGCCGCGCGGCGTGACGGCCAACCCACACGCCAGCGAGCGGCCTCAGGTGCGGCCCGGGTCGGCCTCGCGCCGATGGTGCTGCCTGCTCAGTGCCCCGGCCACAGTGCTCTGGACAGGGCCCGGAAATCGCGGTCCCAAGAGGCCGTGCGTTGCTGTTGGAGCGACCAGTCCGATGAATATTCGCCTGCTTTTGCGCATGTGCTGAAACAAAACAGTTGGATGGCCAAATAGTAGCCTGATGCATAGTCTTATCGCCGCGAGAAATATGTCGTCATCGCCGTAATTCGTATATCTGCATCCTTCATCACTGAAAGAGCGCCGCTGTTTCCCCGGCTGTGTGACCACGTTTGGCGGAACTCCCAGCGCGTGCTGCTCTGTCGGCCGGCGGGAGCCGCCTGGTGCCCGCCTCCTGACCCCCCTCCCCCTCTGCGCTGCAGGGTCTGGGCAGCGCGGACGTACCGTCGCTGCTGGGCGGCGGCGGTGGCGGCGCGCCAGCACCGGCCGCCCCCGCACCCCAGTCCAACACGGGCCTGCTGGTGGACGTGCTGGGCGAGGCCTACGGTGGCGGTCCGGCCGCCCCGCCCGCCACCAACGGCGCCGCCGGCGCCAGCCCCGTCAACGACTACGGTGCCGGCAGCGTGCAGGACCACCAGCAGAGCGTCAAAAAGTACGCCCCGAGCCCCGGCAAGGCAGCGGTACAATGAAAGGGAGCCCAGAGCAGTGTCAAAGAGATGGTCGTGGATTCACCAACAGTGGCCATTTTCCCAGAGGAGGAAGACAACTTATGTTCACCCTGAATGGAGTTGGAATGTGTTATGGACAGCGAAATGATTTTTCCAATTGAGGCTTTTACGTCTTTATGACACTGAAACAAAAATGTGACAAAAACAAAAACGAAGACTTAACAAAAGGCGCAATTTCCCAGAAGCCTCTCTTTGATGAGACCGATCTCACACGGTACCCCTCCGGTCAGGTTCATCTGCAAGAACAACGGCGTGTTGTTCGAAAACGACATCCTGCAGATCGGCATCAAGAGCGAGTACAGGCTGAACCTGGGCCGCGTCGGCATCTTCTACGGCAACAAGACGCCCATCGCGCTGATGGTCAGTCCCGAGCCTGGGGGCCGCGCTGGCGGCGGCTCGCCGGCGTCACGGGGAGAGGGTGGGCTGGATGAAACGCGACGGGCTCGGCTTGGCGTCCGTGTAATACTGCGCGGCGCTGCGATGGGGAATTCTGGATGATGCTGGTGGTTTTAATGTCTGTCGGTATAGGCAAATTACGCTGTAGTATTTTTATTTTTGGCATTTATATGCTACCATTCATTGTTACGTTATCGAAGGTATTGACTGCGGCCATGGCTGTCGAGCCATTGAATTGCGGTCCCCAAATAGCACCAATAGACAACGAGCCGTATGTACACGTCCGCAGTAATTTTTTGTTACTCGTGCACCACCCAAAACGACATATGAGCAATCTTCTGTTCACGCACGGCTGTCGGCCGGGATCGCCACCCCCGTCAGTCGTCAATCCCACCGCCGGCGTGCCGGAGCCTGTGTGTGGTCTGGCGGTGACCTCGGGACCAGTGTGGTCTGGCGGTGACCTCGGGGCCAGTGTGTGGTCTGGCGGGGACCTCGGTGCCGGTGTGTGGTGTGGCGGTGACCTCGGAGCCAGTGTGTGGTCTGGCGGTGACCCCGGGGCCAGTGTGTGGTCTGTTGGTGGCCTCGGGGCCAGTGTGTGGTCTGTTGGTGGCTTCGGGGCCAGTGTGTGGTCTGGTGGTGACATTAGGGCCAGTGAATGGCCTGACGGTGACCTCGGGGCCAGTGTGTGGTGTGATGGTGACCTCGGGGCCAGTAGTGTGGTCTATTGGTGGCTTCGGGGCCAGTGTATGGTCTGGTGGTGACATTAGGGCCAGTGAATGGCCTGACGGTGACCTCGGGGCCAGTGTGTGGTGTGATGGTGACCTCGGGGCCAATGTGTGGTCTGGCGGTGACCTCGGGGCCAGTGTGTGGTGTGACGGTGACCTCGGGGCCAATGTGTGGTCTGGCGGTGATCTCGCGGTCAGTGTGTGGTCTGGCGGTGACCTCGGGGTCAGTGTGTGGTCTGCCGGCGACCTCGCGGTCAGCGTGTTTTCTGGCGGTGACCCGGCGATGACCCGATCCCGCCGCCACCGCAGGGCTTTAGCACCAGCATCACGCTGCCGGACGGGCTGGCCAAGAGTCTGACGGTGCAGGCCAAGCCGGTGGACGGCAGCATCGAAGGCGGCGCCCAGGTTCAGCAGATGGTCAACTTCGAGTTCATCGAGGAGTTTGTCGGTACGACCGGTCGCTGTTTTGGCGGGAGGGCTCTGTTGGGCGGTGCCGCTACCTCGGGGTGTTGGTCGGCCGCTGTGGTGTGGAGTCTGCCGTGCAGCTGATCCGCACCTGGCAGCTGTATGATATCCTGCCGCGGAGAGCTAAGTCTCGTCATCATGACGGTGAATGACGTCTGCAGAGAAATGCGTATCTCGCATGTGCAGTGGCGGGGTTACAGCGTAGAGTCCACGGGCTTGATACGCACATTGGCTTTTCAACAGCCACCTGGTGTTTTCGCTTCCTGTCACGATCGGCTGGTCCCGTCTGGTCCTGCGGCCCTCGCGCATTGTCGTGGGAGAGCGCGTGGAGCGGTGGCTCAAGCTCGCTCCTGGCTGGTGACTCCTCCGCCGCCGTCCTCAGGCATGCCCGACCTCTCGGTCAGCTTCATGTACAGCGGTGTACAGCAGAAGCTCAACCTCAAGCTGCCCGTCACGCCCAACAAGTTCTTCGAGCCGACCGAGATGAACTCGGAGGCGTTCTTCGCGCGCTGGAAGAACCTCAGCAGGTGAGCTGGAGCCGGTGCGGAGCCGAGGCTGCCGGCCTGGCGTGGCCACTTCTCGGACGTAGGCCGGTAACGGCGTCGCCCAAGCGTGTGCTGACGGCCCAAGAAATGTAATTTGCTGTCATTTCGACTGGTGTGGATGTGTCAGGGTGCTGCTCTGCACAGCTGTGCTGAGATGAGTGGTTTGTGGGTACTGAACATGTGATGTGATATTCAGCATTGCATTACTTTGTTAATTTCGAGAAATGTGTGTCGTTTGTCAGCCAGCTTTCGCCGTTTTGCATGTACGCACCTGTCCAGATTGATTAGATTTGCATGAGACTTTGTATTGCATTTCCTGCTGAATGTGTGAGCGACTCGTCGCTGGGCCGGTGTGACGCCCAAAGACGCAGGCTGATCCGGCTGGGGAGGGGATTCGGCCGGCGCTATAACGTCCCGCTCTGCTGGGTGTCGACGCGCACCCTGGCGGGCTGACGCTGGGCGGCCCGTGCGCCGCGGCGACGCTCACCCTCGCCTCGCAGTCCCAACCAGGAGGCGCAGAAGATCTTCAAGGCCAAGCTGCCGATGGACGCCGGCACGGGCACCCGGCTGGCCGGCTTCGGCATGCAGCTGCTGGAGGGCGTGGACCCCAACCCGGAAAACTTCGTGTGCGCCGGCATTCTGCACGGCCGCGGCGTACAGGTCGGCTCGCTGCTGCGGCTCGAGCCCAACAAACAGGCCCAGGTCAGTCCTCCACCGGTGCTGCGGCTCGAGCTCCACAAACAGCTAGAGTCTGGTGGACGCTGCTGCTGAGTTACTTCGGCAGCTACCGTTCCTTGGTAGTGGTTAGTGGTGGTGGTGGACGGCGGACGGGTTTCTGACCTGTACGGGTGACAACTGCCGGGCCGCCGGCGGATGGTTCTGGGATATCGCGGTGTTTTAACTGGGTGGTACGCGTAACTGGATAGGGTGGGCAACATAGCACCTTGCTCTCAGGTTGCGCAATCGAGCATTCGCTTTGTGCAACATGTAGTGGACAGCCCATTCGTGTCACATCGTCTGCGTGCTAGTGAAGTAACACCTCCGGCCTGTGAAAGCCCACGTGCCAGGCGCGGACGCAGTCAGGCCGCAGGCAGCATACCCAGGTCGGCGTGCGGCCGGCGTGCTCGACCGACGCGGCCTAACCGTGCACGCCCGCGCGCCGCCGGCAGATGTACCGGCTGACCATTCGCTCGAGCAAGGACAAGACGTCGCAGGTGCTCTGCGACCTGCTGGTGGACCAGTTCTGAGGTGCTCCCGACCGACCGACCGGCCGGCCGGCCGGCCGGCAGGCAGGCGGCCAGGTTGACGTGTTGTGTGGCCGTAGTGCGCGGCGCGGCCGCCTCATTCCAATGTTGCCGGGGAGCGGGCGCGTGCGCGCGCGCGACGCCCGGCCGTCCCGACGCAGTTGCCGCCGCCGCCGCCGCCGCCGCCGCCGCTGTCGCCTCCCTCTGTCGCTGTCCTGTCGTGCCCGCGTCTGGCCGCCGCCCCCGCCCCCAGCGGGGAAGGCCGCCCGTACCCCCGCGCTCGGCGGCCGCCGGGGCCCGCGCCAGACGCAGGATCCGCTTCACGCCTTAGATACCTACCCGTTTATCAGCGAATATTATCATGCTTCCTGCGAGGATCGTATCGCATTCATTCGGCCGGCTGTGGCCGCGCGGGCGGAACGTAGTGTCGGTTATTGTTTTGATTTGTTATTGGCTTATTCGTATGCATATATTGTATTAGCATATGACTATTATCGTTACATGCCGGGCCGGGCAGCACCATCTACTTAAGCCAACTTTGTACGTACCGGTTCAAGGGTTCCACATTAGCCACGCGAGGCGTCCGTAGGTGCTAAAGACAGTGCCGCGCGCCGCGGCCGTGCCGGTCGGTCGGCCGGCCGGCCGGCGGGCGGCCCGCGCGGTCCCGTGCCGACGGCGGGCCGGCGGCGGCCCGTCCGTCGGCCCGCCGGTCCTGTGTCGATGCGTCGTCTGTCCGCGGCCGGCCGGCGCGCGCGGCCCCTGGCCCCGACGCCTGCGTTATGTCTCGGTGCGATGGCCGCCGGAGAGAGAGGGCGGTGGAGGAGAGTGAGAATTGGGGGAAGGTGCGTTTAGACTGCTCCGCGTGTATGTGTGTTTGTGTGTGTGTGTGCGTGCGTGCGTGCGTGCGTGGTACGCGTGGGTTGAGTCAGGACCCGGGAGTGCGCTTGCTTGTGAAAGGAGGTTGGTCGGATGCGCATTTGTCTGCTGTTTACGTGGTGTGTGCGCTGAACGATTCATTTGTGATGTGTGCGCGTATTGCTCGTGTAGACGCGTCCGGTGTCTTCTGTGCTTGTCGTCGCCTCGTGTCTGCAATGTCTAGCTCATGTCTGTTTTCGTGTCGCGTTCGTTATTTCTGGAACGTGGACGATACGCCCCGCCGTTTAGGCTCCGTCACTGTCTGGCCATGTTGTTTGGAGCCTGTCTGTCGTCCTTGTGTTAGAGAATGCATGGGCGCATGTCCGCCACGGCCAGCCGTAGGCGTGTGGGACACCTGCCGTGTTCTCTGGAGTGTGTCTGCCGTCGCCGTGTGGTTGCAAGGTCTGTCGCGCGTGGGCTCGTGTTGGCATCGGGGGACGTGCGCGCTGGCCGGCTTCGCGGCCCAGTCATTGTCTCAACGCCGGCGGAACGACTAATAAATATGTGTACGTCACGCGGGACCGTTGGGAGCCGCCGGACCCGCCCCGCACGCCGCGGCGGCAGCTCGGCAGCACTCGTCAGTGGACGACGACACCCCGCAGAGCATTGATCGGGCTGTGGGGAGGTGGCGTGTAACATGATTCAGCGGGCAAGAGTCGACCATGAGCGCGGCAACAACAATTTCCGTACTGCTGTTGTCGCTGCCGACGGCAGTGTGTAAGCTCGTCAGGAGTTGGCCATTGGAATATGTGGAGTTCCTCACTACTGGCGCGCAGGTAAACGAGCACAAAGCCGGCGGGCGACACGGGTTACGCCCTGTTACGCACGTGTGCTATTCATAAGCGTACTTTGAATAACATAGACATCGTTTTCCGCGCAGGCTATGTCGCGCCACATTACCCGCCTGCTGTCCGCGCGCCACTTCCGAACACGGCGTGCGGTGCTCATGCTGTGCGCATCTGTAAGCGTCACGAAAAAAGGACGCTGTAATGCGTGTCGCATGTGGTTGGCTTCCATGACCGTGCGCTTTGCGACCGAGATCGACGGTGTGAGGCGTGGGAGATTTTAGTCTCGGGAGTGGTTGGCGTATGGGGTAGGAGATTGTAGTTTCTCGGAGCGGACGGTGTAGGGAGTGGGAGATTCTAGTCTTAGTGGATGTCAGGAGTGGGGAGTTCTTGGCTTCGGTTTCTGCACACTGCGCCGGGCCCGCGGCGAGACTGAACGAAAATCGACGGAAATGTTTGTAGTGAGCTGGCCCTTTAGGCCGCCCAACGCAAGCGACGAGCGTACGCATGTGACCCAGTTCCAGTGCATCGCGCCAGAAGGTAGCAGAATGGACCGTTTCTGTCCGCGCCGCATTCGTGACCTGCCTGGGTCACGTCGATAAAGTCAAAGTGACGAAATAACAGCGGCAAACAATGGTTCACTCGATCAGGAGACATTACCATAGCATTAACGAAAGCTTTCAGTGTATTAGTCATCGCATCACTCACATTAATAAGACACAGAGCGCATTAAATGCGTTTAACAGCAGCACAAAAATAAACACCTTATAGTACGATAACGATGGAGTATGCACGCCGCCCACAGCATGTTGCACTGTTCGCTCGGAAGTGCGGGGCCGCACACAAGACCCCAGCGGACCCTGGTCGGGCGCGTGAAGACTGGGCCCACGCCAGCGCTGCGCGGGCAGGCGAGAGGGCACGCGGGCTCGCTCCAAAGCGTCGTGACCCCACAACGGTCCGAGTCGCGACGCAGGTGGTCTGGGAGAGAACTGGCAGCTGACTGGGCTCTACAGGGCGGGAGCGATGGGCATTGTCAGGACACGCAGGGCTAGAACCGTGTCTGCCTCAGGTTCACCAGCGCGCTGCTGACGTCTGCAATGTAATGCATCCGCCACAAGCAGCTGAAGCTGGGTTCTGATGCATCGCTGTCAATCCCAGATCACAGAGGGCGGGGATAAGACGCTAATATTTGACAATCTCGCCGGCGTCATGAAATCTCGTCTCATAGAAGAGAGTTAACTTCCTCACGCTGCATCATGCCGCCCGGTCACGACTGAGTTTGTCTTACCGCGATCCTCAAGACTCGCATTCAAGGTAACAACCGTTCCACCACGTATGGGCGCTCAGCAGAGCTCGTACCAGCAGGCTGCGGCGCCTACGGCGGCGGTCGATCCCGCTGTACCCGGTCTAAGAACGCCTGGCGCTGGGCCCGGACCTCGCTGATGTCGGGAGGGCGGGCCGGCGCGGTGCTGCCGTCTGGTGGACAAGACAACTCGTGTTCGCTGCCGACTGCGTAGCAGAAGAACAATACGGCAGCCCGTGTGGCGTTAGACAAAGTGCGTACTCATGTTTTACATGAGCGCGGCGAACCATTTTCCGGAGAGCCACTCTGCTAGATATGCAGGCCTCTTGCGTCTTTAAATCCATCCTCCGCAGGAATTTCAAAGCAGTTATTCCCAGCGGGCCCGCCGTGCGTCTAGGTAATCTCGGAGATAAGGGCGCTAGCACGACTCGCGTCTCGTCTCAGTCTAAAGAGAGCGACGAATACACCACCCGTTCCCGCACCCGCCAAACCGCTGGTAACGGTGCACGGTTGACATTGGCACACCGGTCCTCCCACGCCCAAACATCCTTTTTCTCAGCCACGCCCCCCCCCCCCCCCCTGCAACAACAACCCTCCCCCTCCCGTCCCGGCATCTACCAACCTTCCAGACTCATCCTGATGGCTGCCTGTAGCTGTTCCTCCTCCGCCTCGTCCTCCGCCGGCGGCGGTGGCGGCGCGGACCGACCGTCCTGCGCCAAACTGGCGGCCAGCGCCGCCTGCAGCTGCTCTTCCTCCGCCTCGTCCTCTGCCGGCGGCGGTGGCGGGGCGGGCTGGCCGCCCGGCGCCAGACTGGCAGCCAGCGCCGCTTGCAGCTGTGCCTCCTCCGAGTCCGATGCGCCGCGCGCGTCGCCGTCCAGGCTGGCAGCGAGCGCGGCGCGCAGCTGGGAGTCATCGCCGGCCAGCGTCTCGATGGTGCGCTGCTCGGAGAGCAGGCGCGGCTTCACCGCCTGCGTGACCGTCGTCGTCTGCAGCAGGCGGTCGGCCGTGCAGGCCGGCAGCATGCCCAGCACGATGAAGATGGAGTAGCCTGCGGCGGCGCGACGGCGGCGGTTAGACGAGCGGCGGCTGGCGCGCGCCAGAGCCCCGACACGAGATGGTCGCTCACGGAACACAGGCAGGAAAGCGGCAATGGTTGAGGAACGCCGCGGTGCGTCACACACACCGAAATGCCACACGACTTCCTGCAAGAAGTATGAAACATGCTCAGACGAGATCGACTCTGGACACATATGCATTTAGTGTTGGGGGCAGCATGAGGGCCCAGAATAAAATTATCTGCTGCAGCAACAAGCAGCAGACATCTTTGATGCTCAACGACATCGTTGACGCGCCAGACTACATCAAATCTCTGCTCTGGGCTCGGGCCTTGTCCAGACCCGCGCTCCACATTGGTCGCCTGACCGGACCGCGACCGGGAGCCGCCGCTCCGCCCGCCGGCGGGCGGCCGTCGCGCACCCTCCTGAAGCAGCTGGGCCATGAACTCGGAGAGGTACGAGTCGGAGAGCAGCTCCGGGCCGGTCAGCAGCGAGTTCAGGTTGAACCACTGCCGGCCCAGCCGCCGGATCGTGAACCAGTGGTCCCGGTAGTTGCAGATGTAGGCGGTCTGGCCCCTGTGGTGACAACACACACACTGTCAACGGCCGATAGCAGGCCGTGAGACGTGGACGGTATGAGAGGGTAGCTCGGTAGGAAGATGTGCGAGGAGGAGCGGCACAAAATACATGCAACCACGGTCGTCTGCCGTTTTACATAGTGGTGACGTAGTGGGTGGTGTCGGAACTGCCACTGATCACGGTCTGGTTTTTCCAAGGGAGAAGTGACCGCGTGGGATGTTACCTCCAGGCGGCGTCCGCAGAGTGGCTGTAACGACGAGTGGCTACCAAATCCCTCAACATCTGGGAGCAGGCGCCATTTATCTCCCCATGCAACACAATAAGGTATGTGTTTCGCATTCCAAGCGATTAGAAGTTGTGAAAGTGGGTGGATGAAGGAGATGAATCTGGAACCATCAGTAAACACAGATGAGAATATTCACACGCGGCATCCACAGAGCGGCCGGCTATCGTGACAGGTGATAGTATCAGCACATCTAACTCTTCACATGTGGCAGCAGTTGCATGCAACAGAAACGACAACGGACTGTATCCGCGCTTGGCGCTACCCACGAGTGGCAGAAGCGTGTGACACCACCCACGAGTGACAGAGGCATGTGACACCACCCACGAGTGACAGGGGTATGTGACACCACCCACGAGTGGCAGAAGCGTGTGACACCACCCACGAGTGGCAGAAGCGTGTGACACCACCCACGAGGGACAGAGGCATGTGACACCACCACAGTGACAGGGCGGGTGAACCACAACGGTGACAGGGCGTGTGACCACTCCCATGCAGAGGTGACACCACCAGGCGCAGAGGCGTGACTGTCACCCACAGAGACACGACCCTCCCAGTGAGAGAGGCGTGTGACACCACTCACGAGTGACAGAGGCGTGAGACACTACCCACAAGTGGCGGAGGCATGAGTGTGGCCAAGTTCTCCTTCCCATCCCACACTCCGCCATCGCCATGTTTAACCGCAGCCACAGCCGACGGCCTCCGCGGTCAATGCGTGCCCAACCGGCGACCTCGCAAGTTCGGTATCACAGGAGCTGCACATGGCGGCGCTGGCAGGGCTGGGACCCTGTCAGCGCCGGCCAGACGGTATCACAGCTCACACGGGCCACACACGACCGGCCTCCGCTGGAGTACTGACGAACATGTCACGTGGTGTTGACGCCAGTGATGTCGCGGGCGGACTGGACATTCCTCCTTGCATTGTTATTGGAGCATCCTTGAAATCAACTTCAGGTAAATGGACATCTGATATGTTTTTATCTCAATATTCACATGAAAGGAGAGGTAAATTGCAGTGATAACGCGTTGTTGCAAAAGCATGTCAGCTGATCAAACAACATGCATGCAAGTGTGTTCAAAATAGTACAGCACACTCGGTGCACCAGTCGCTGCTGAGCGTACTACGGTGGTGTGGTCAGTGGCTGCAGACCTCAGCCCGTCAAAAGCGCGGCTAGCCGGGCAGTGCCGCCGAAGCCGCAGCATTTCCCGGTGGATGGCATGGAGACTCGCTGAGTCTGCAGCCTCGCTAGCAATCACATGGGGTATTGGAAACATTCACTCCGCTATCGCCGCAACACCAAATCTATCGCCCGAAGCATAAGCACTGAACAAAACAACGCAATCCGCCAACCGGACTTTGCCTTACGCAACCGCGCCTTCTTATAAAAGTCCGCATCGATTCGAAACCTCCTTGATTTGCGGTCGGTCAAGTGAAGTAACCAGGCGACACCCACGGCCCGCCGGTCCCAAACTGGAAATCCTTGACACCGTATCCGCATTACGTGATGCAATCAGAACTGCATTGCCCTAAACGTACGCTGGGTGGGGACACATCATTATAAAACAGCCGATCACATGTACATTATGGAAAGAACGGCGGCTATCAATGGCAACTGGGAAACAACCTACGAAACGCTGACAGCGTACTCGCGGCAAGTGCACACAACTCCGTGCAACACGATTGCAATCCTTGCTGTCATTCACGAGCGTAAGAGCGCATGGAAGACCTTTCAACTGGCCGGAAGACTTAGTGCCACCGACTAGCTTTTACATCTCACGCCATCTTACACCAGCACAAGCTCTCAGGAACACAGCTAGCCAAAATATCCCCTATATTTGTTCCGACCAGCCCGTAGTAATACTGTTCTCGTTTCATCCCAGCAGCCACAAGCACACCGATCCGTAGAAGCATGGTAGGAGTGTGTGGCGTGCACGCTATGGCAGGCATCTGACCTTTTACTCCGCGGCATTGCACAACCACCGTACCCACAGTACTGCAGCAATGTTTTGCTTGCGATTGGTCTAAAAGAGTGCACTGCCGATGAGAGGACTTGATTCTTTGGAATCTTTATGTTGTCGTTTATTAACATACATAATAATATACAGCTAAGGATAATGAGTGTTATCACCGCTAGTCCAGCCTTCTCTTTATATAAAGATTTGATTCTACAGATTCGATATCCAAATAAAATAGTAATCGCTTGATATAAGCACAGAAGGCCTTCAGCTCCTGGTTTTGTCAGCATTATGGACCTTAGAGGTCTTATGCCAAATCAGCGATCAACATATCAGGAGGTAATGGTTAAACGACAATATGGAGTATGTGTTATTGGGGCTTTACGACGTACTCAGCTGCTGAGACTATATGGCGTCGCCTGCCTCTCACCCTGGCAGGAAGGGCGAGCCGCGGGGAATCGAACCCCGTACCTCTGGTTTCTCAGACGCGGACAATATGGAGTAAACATTGGTCATATTAATAGTACTTCACATTTCAGGCCGTGCCTGTCATCACGAAGGCGAATCTTACATCACATGTATCATAAGTTTCTGCTTGCCTCTGCCACCAGAAGTTTCTGCCAGCCGTGTAACGAAGCTTTGCTCTACAATGTCGCTTAATCAGTACCTCCTGGTATACTGAATGTCGGAAACCCAGCCTATGATCTCTGAACTAGGCAAATAGCCGAGGGACCCAGCACCTTGCATGCTACCCAAAGATTCACTACAGGTTTGTTGCTCGCCTCTTTCTCATTAATTGCAGTTAAGTCGTGCACTTCATTGTCTACGTCCTACAGCCAACACGCATCCTCTTGTGAGCTGATAAACATAACACGCTTTCAACTTTCGCAAGTAAAGTCAATTTATGCCTCAAGTTCAGAGTTCCCCTGCTGAGTTAACGACCTTAAATATACCAAGACCTACTGGCTTAACGACACCGCAGTGTTAAATAGCAATTCAATCGACGGTGCTCAGTATGTCAAGCTGTGCCCCTGCTCACGAGTCCTCAAGGGTCAAAGAGTCAAGGAGTTCTAAATAACTTTCAAAAGTCAATAGCTCGTGATCGTGAGCATAGCTCGAAATTCCGCGTATCGTCAAAATACTCGTCGTTTATCACTGCGACGTCGTTTAACCGGTATATCCTGGAATATTGAACGCTCTTACGTCAACCTAAGACCTTTGAACTCGTGATGCTGAAAAACGGGGGGCTGAAAGCCTTTCTTATATCAAATATGATCAGTTTGCTGAAATGTGTATTAATGTTGCTTTTATAATAGCATGAAGGTCCCTTTTGGCGGCACCAGATCAACCAAACATCCAAGCTGCATTCCAGTTTCTTCAATTTTGTGCCGTTTTTGCCACCAGTAGCCACTGTGAGCCGGTTTTGACCGGTTAAGCCAGCAGACAAAACAATGTCAGACGACACCACGGGCCATTTCGTGCTGGCAGCCAACACATCCTCTTATCTCAAAAGTTAACAGCAGTCGCATACACCTCAAACTTCAACCATCACAAGCAGCTGCAAAGGACATCACCTCCTTACGTGAACATATGGCATCATGAATGCCCCCAGATCACTTGCCAGTCTCAAAGATCTCCTTGTTGTAATATCTGTCGGTGATTATTACAAAACAGCGCGCGATCAGTCAGTGTTCTGATGAGCATTGGCGCGCGCGAGCGGCTATGTGGCGGACTCACACGAGGTTGGCGCGGGCCTGTGCGGCGCTGGCGTCCGAGCTGCTGAACGGCACCAAGGTCTAGGTCCCAGACGCGCAGCGCCGCCGAGATCACCTGCACCGAGAAGTAGCCGCTGTCGTCCATGTTCTGTGAGCCGGCCTGCCGACCGACGCACCCAGCGAGCGTTAACACGCCGGCCGGGTGAGGTGTCACACAGGTGTCACGCAGACCTGCACCAGAGGCAGCGGTGTGAAAGGTCGTGTTTAGGTGAGGAAGCATACACCGCAACTGGAAAATGCACAAATTGGCACACAACTCACAGGACATTCAGCTTGGATGTGATTTACAGAACTGTTCAGAAGAATTCCCGGTAATGTGGATGTTACGCATACTTCTCTCCAGAGCACCTTTACACATATTCAACAGCATTTTGTTGACTGAACGTGAGAAGTCGTAGCAGACGATGGGTGTTTTGAAAGTGCAAGCTGTTTGAGAATGTCGGAGACTGCGGTTTGGATGCAAAGGAGGAGCGAGGCGGACGATACGCTGCCTCTCCTTCTTGGTAATTGGGGTCACGCGATTCATATAATCATCACAGAAGAAGGCAATGAGTGGAATATTATGTGGTCTGCAGAACAGCCTCATCATAACACTGAACTCACACTGACGAAGTTTCTGTACTCCTCACTATCTACGCCAGCCTCAGACATCCTGGTCCTCTCAGCCTCGTCCATCTGCTGAGCCAAAGTAGCCAGGTCCACAGCCGTGAAGAATGATCCTTGGAGGAGGGCATTCAAACAGTGCTGAGCACATAGCGAGCCCTCTTGCTGCAACAGCATGGAATGTGTAAGCATGCACCTGTATACAACAGCTGAACACAACAAACCTTAGCAATCTACAATGGCTCAAAGGTAGGGGCTCAGTGCTGTAGAGCAATAACTTTACTTATGAACAACCACTTCCAATGCAGAAAAACAGCACATACTTGCACCAGCACCATTCAATGCCTTTTCTCATTTGTTTTATACCCAATATGCTAAATGCATGTTATACCAGCTGGGCATATCTCTTCAACTGCACTGTCAATGGGTCTATTATTCAGGCTCAGACCATATCAGCTATTGAGAGATAACACTGCATACTTCTTAAAGCACATATAGCCCTATATTCATTTATTCATGCACAGCTCACTGCCTCATCTATTTTCCCACAATATCTTTAATTATTTATTTACCATAAGAATAAAAAATGCATGTAAAATAAAATATGGGGCAGGGAAGAGTCCAATAGCAAGTGAGATAACCATGCAAAGAGCTCTCTTCAATCATGGCTTTAAATGAATGTTGTCTTTATATGGAAGCCAGCACAATGGGCAATTGCCACATAGCATTATTTTGATTTAGTGGCAGCTTTCACCAAAGCATTTTTGCATGTCAAATAATGTCACAGGACTATGCCTGGTTTGGCTTCATATTTTTGGTTGTATGACTGCACTGTCATGGCATGCCATGCTATTGTGTATTTGTGTATATTTGTGGATTAATGTATATTGTTTCAAGATGAAAACCCACTTGCCTGCCACAAATTGGTTTCAGGACCTGCTGTTCTACTGGCCAAGGTACATGAATGAGAATTTCTAGCAAGAAGTTGTGTGATGTAAAAATGCACCTACTATAATACCATGCTAGAAAAACAACCACTTGCCTTCTCATGAAATATTGCATCCATTCTTCCTCCAAGATACTTCAAAGGAAGTTCAAAGTAGCAACCTTACAGGGCAAAAACATGTGGCAGCCCCTGCAACACAATGTCATGTCATTATACCCTGTCATAATTATCAGCAGCTGAAAGTACACAGGTAATAGCTAACTGAAAGACTGCATGGCATCAAAGTTGAAGAAAGCTTGTCCACATAAATGGTTATGTTATGCAGGCCCCATGGTCACTTGATAAGACCAAAATGTACTCAGCCAGGCTGCAAAAAACTATGGTCAGTGTGTAAGACACCTATGAGACATTGGTGCACTGAACTTTGTGTTGATGTACACCAAACTGGTGTCAGGAGACATTGCAGTGAATTTTTGACTTACTTTGCTGCTCAGAATGTTGTGGGTTAATTTGGAGCAAGCCTCCTTCTTAGCACCATAATTCCCTGAAATATTGGCTATCCATTTGATGCAACTGATGGCAACTTGCACCGAATCGAGGGTGCTGGAGTTTACGACGTACGTGCGCAGAAATTTCGGGCGCGATGTCGCTGCTGCGTCGGACATGTTCCGGCGAAAGGTGTATTTTTTACAGCCTGGACTACTGGTACCAGCATAGCATAAGTATTCAAGTCACCACATTAGATAACAGTACATCAAAGCCACCGTTGAAATCCGATTCAAATCATCGTGAACATAATATACAAACAAACGCGGCGAAACGACAGCCTCTGATTAGCAATACGGCTTTGCAATCACCGTCGTTACGACGCAGGACTCTCCACTGCACATTATTTATTTATTACATCGACAACAATGGGATGAAAACCGAAGCATCGAAACTTGTGCGCTATAGACTGTCGTATTTTTATTGTTCCTTATTAGATGTGGACCATGCAAGTATCTTTATTTTGTTTCAAACGAACTTTTACAAACGGCTGTATTTCTTGTGCATTTAGGTATCAAGATATTTAACTCTAAATAAAACTTTAAGGTATTTTACTCATTTAATACACCTTGCTTATCAAACCACACATTGCTTTCATCAATATCTCGAAAAACATTTTACTTTCATCATTTTAAGTACCAACTGCACTCATTAAATTCATTAATATTGCCATCACTAAAGTACTTAGAACATTTCCAGTAACTTTTTAAATAAAAGTATGCGCCCTTGAGTCAGGTGAGAACCCATCGGGAGCTGTGCGTGGTCTGTTGGGAATTAACATGGAAAGGTTTAAATCATGACTTGAACTCAACGCAAACTCCTGCACGGCGAAGATGGCATGGAGCGTGGCAAAATGCTTTCGAATCGGGTGGTTGGATGTGTGTAAGTACGTGTCATTTACCAACTCTACACTCCCATAACCTTCCGCTTCGCGTCTCTCCGGTCAAGCGGCGGGGACGCGGGCTGGCCGGCTGTCGGCGAGCGCCGCCCGCGGCTGCTACTGTGCTTCGGACAACTTGATGATGACGGTTGGCGTGTGTGCCAGGTTAGATAGCAAAAGGTAATGATCTGTCAATAGCGCAGCACCGCAATACAGTATTATAAACCAGTAGGTCGTTTCGTGCGGCGCGGAACGATACAATGATACATTAATTATGCGGCACCGCAACAGCATCGCAATGTAATACCAGCAAGAACGCGTCGTGCGGCATAAAACGTGCGAGGAAGTGAGAGACGTGAGAGTTGCTTGTCGCTGACAGGTAGATGCTGTTAAAAGGTAACGCAATAAAGTTAAACACATTCGGTAACTGGCACCAAACGGCTTGAGCAATACACTGGGAAGTTTACCGGGCATAGTGAACAGGCGATGGCCCGTCGGTGTATACCTCGTACTCCAATTCACCAATCGCATTGCTCGAGGAACAGCTGGCAGAGGCTGGTCGAGGTTGGCAATCTAAATAGATGAAATCGATGAATTTGTAGATATGAACGGTATTAGCAGTTGTGGTCCAAGTATTGCAAGACGCAATTATTACGGAAGCACATTGGTGAACAATAACGTCTACGCTCCAGTATAACTGGCATGGTCTCATATCTCTCGGATAACACCACAGCATGTCGTTATCAAGACAGGTCTCGACAGGTGTGGTGTTGGTCGTTTTCCGATCGATTACTAGCTCGCGCCTGTGTGCCGGACCGTTTCGAGATCTGTTGGCGAGCTGTGGTGGGTGCATTTGCCCGTACCGTGCAGTTGATTTCACGTCTTCCTTTGCTCTGGTTGCTGAGATCTGACAAAAATTATTAACCAAACCGTGTTTCCGAACGGACGCATCCTCGTCTGCGCAGCTCGTTCTCGATCACCTCGTCCTCAGGCGTGGCTGTCCGTACACATCCACTCGTGTGGGTCTCGCGTCGCTGCGATACCGAGTGTGGGCTCGATATCGGCCCATGCTTCTCGGGTTTGCCGCAGGTTGAAAATTGCTCATTTTCCATGTTAATCGAATGAGGTAAAATTATAGTGATGATGCAATGCTGAAGGGAAATTCCTTCTGATTCAACAGGTATCATATCCATGCCTAACCATTGATGCGGCACAAGGTTGACAAAATTGCGCTGCATGTTGCTTAAAGCTACATGAACCTGCAATCAGTGATGACGAAGATATGTGCTTGAAGAAAACGTGACGGTCGGCCCGGACCAGGCCGCTCGAGCTGAAAACTTTCTCATGGCTCGCCTTGCTGGCAACAATGCAGTGCAGTGAAATAATGCAATTAAATGCGGCAAAGAGGTACATAGGATGCAAAACCCAGCTACCTGCAAAACTGGTGGTTATTTAACGGATTGGCCAGTCTAGTCAGGGGCTATCACACTGTGATAATCCGTGATTATATGGCGCTGTGCTTCTGACACTTGACACTGACACTTGACACTGTGATAATCTCAGCCGACACTGTTTGCATCGGCGTGTTCACCGATACGTCTCATTTACTGAGGTGCACTCAGTGCGCGTCTTGCATCGGTGAACAGTTCGTGAGCCATCACAGTGCAGTGGTTCGCTGGTAAAATTTTTTGGTTCAAGCCTTTTCCTCCCTGTGACGCCCTTTTAGAAGCTGCTGGTGAGGTGGGCCGTGAGGACTATCACTTCCCGCTTTCACACGAATATGAACTTGATACGACTGACCACCTTGTGCGACTGATGCTTGTTCAGATACGTGTCCTCGGTCATCAGCATAAGCGTAGCACGGGGTGGTTGAGACTGTTTTGAACCGGGGAGTACTTTGCTGCGTCTCAGATACCGTTGCATGGTGAGTGGTAAAGAATGACGTCGTAGTCACACCTGCAGCCCTTGTAATACGATATGACAAAAAACCGTTCTATCTGATACCATGGACAGGTTATTATAAAATTTGCCTGATGGTTGCGCATATTCATGACATTATGCCTCATTTTAGGCTGAAGAATGCTGCCATTTATGAAAAGAATGGTGTTTTATCAATCAGTTTTGTCCGAACAAACGTGTGTCCAACCAAAGCTCGTACTTCTATGAGGTGCCAGTGAGGAAATACCCTGGGGATCATCCAAAATAATATCTGCATATAGGACATTAATGTGTATATTTATATACATATATGAAATATCTAAATTCGATATTACGGCTGTGGGGCCCGTGCGGAAGGTGGATGGTGGCCGTGCGGCTCGGGCCATCCCTTCATCACCCCATCCCACCTCGGGCCATCCCTTCATCACCTCATGCCACCTTCCGTCACTCGAATCACATTCCGGTGGTGTCACTGTTGTAAAGTACCGTACCACAGCGTGATTACAAGAAAGAAACAATGTCACATTCCATGCATTCGGATCGCAATGGTTTAAGGTACTTGATGCCTCGATCTCCTTTCGTCGTTGTACCTTACACTGGGCTTGGACCACACTTGAGTATTTACAGAACTGAGAAAAGGCTTCTTAAATGTTTCGTAACTGATATGATTTTGTTTTTCAGTTTTGGACCGCAAGCGGTTGCGTTGGTCATTTGACTTGTTGACTTGCTTGTTGACGTGACGTTTGATGCTGATAAGTGATAAGATGTTTCACTGGACTAGTAGATAACGTGCGTCTGTGAGCTTCCCACAAGAGTCTTGGTTGCTCTTTGGCTGCTCTAAATTTGGTAAATAGACATGTGGTGAAAACGCGTGGCATGGCAACTGCAACTGGTGTGTGCATCTACATTTTTGTGTTTTGTTTTTATGTCGTGTGCTACTGATTTGAAATTAATGAACCTTTTGTACTGGCAATGTACCGTTGAATGTTTCGGAGACGAAGGTCCTTGCCCCTGTCTCCGGCCTGTTTGGTAAGGAGATTCAGCTGCTCATTGTAGTTCGAAACGGGCATCGAAACAGGTTATATGACGGCGAAATGAAAACGTTTCGGGAGTACGCTGTTACGGCCATTTTGAAAGAATCGAGCGATCTGAGGAGTATCAAATACCTGAACCTACAAGATCATGTTACAACCATACATGATATACCAAAGCCACGAACACCTCTTATGGTGCGTAGTACATATCCATCATATCAATGGTGCGTCGATCAAAGGGTAACACTGGTAGACTGTTCACCATAAACGACGGTATTGCCTTCTGATGAGATGGCCGAAACGGTCAGTGTTGTCCATTGTAAACTGGGGGTAACTGTGATCCTCAAGGTCGTCTTAAAAGGCGGGTGACGTTATCAAAGTTAATGATCTTCCGTTGTCGCCCGCTGATCGAGACATCGGTAATTGTGTTATATAGGTATGAGGCCTGTAAGTAAATTAGTTGTTTTCGCTGCGGCCTTTAACACGCGCTCGGGTGAGGGGGGTCAAATTGACCGAAGGTTTTTCCAGAATAGTTTCCGGACGGCGCGGCGTAGCTGCGCAAAGTTTTGCATAGCTGTAGATAGCTGAATATCGGATGGTTTGATATAAATAATTTAGATTTACCTTGTAAGGTCGCTGACCTATGGCAGATTAAAGTCAGGCCATGGTTTCAGCGAAGGCAATTTCTAGGGAATCGTTCAATCTGATGCAACAACGGAGTGTTTGACAAAGCCATGCATCTCTGAGATGCTTTCTTAGGCAACGCGAATATTGAATGAGCAAAGAACGTTGACCACAGGTCAGGTATGAATGTCAAAGGTCAAAACCAACCTGTTTCGTTACTCTACGGCTTGCTGTATGGGATAGTTTCTGGTGCTCATTTCGAATTTATTGATAGCAGGAACCGCATTATACATCTTCCATTGACTTGTTAGAGGTCGGAATAGGTCATTGACCTAAGATGACGCAGGTCGACATTTTGTTTTTAGGAACATACTGCGTACCGTAATCTTTATCGCTTGTTCAAATGCAAAACTCAGAGCAGTCTTGTATGATTTTGGTCGCCATGACCTTCAAAAGGTCAAACGAGATCACTGACCTTAAATTAGCTCGTGAACTTGTGTTTAGAAATGGTTATCTCAGTTCTGGGGACACTTTGGAGACCAACCTGAAATTTGACCTTGTTTGACCTGATTTGACCTGAAGGACGTGACCTAGGAACCCCAAACTTTGACCTAAGTGAGTTAACGTACAGGGCAACACATCCTGTGAATTTGGTATCTCTAGATTTCTGAGTTCCCGAGATCTTATGGGGGAGTCAAATTACCCTCCCCCACCCCACCAGAGCAAAGGGTATCTAGCCGGCCACCCGGGCGCGTGTTAACATTGGATTTGCTTAACGCCAACTTCCGTTTGGTTAGCAACGAAAACAGTTTTGATAGGCAACGCAAAA